GTCCCGTGGCGTCCCATGGTGTCCGCCGTTGCTAGGGCGAGGTCAAGACAAATGATTCTCCCCCGCCCGCCTGGAGGTCCGGCGGTGTCCCGTGGTGTCCCGTGGTGTCCCGTGGTGACCGCCGTTGCTAGGGCGAAGTCAAAACAAATGATTCTTCCCCGCCCGCCCGTCCGTCCGTCCGTCCGTCCGGCGGTGGCTCGCGGTGTCCCGCGGTGTCCCGTGGTGTCCCGTGGTGTCCCGTTGTGTCCCGTGGTGTCCTGTTGAGTGAGATCGATGCTGAGATCGATAGTGAGATCGATAGTGAGATACATAGTGAGATCGATAGTGAGATCGATACTGCGATCGATGTGGTGCCCCGAGGTGTCCAGTGGTGTCCCGTTGAGTGAGATCGATAGTGAGATCGATAGTGAGATCGATAGTGAGATCGATACTGAGATCGATGTGGTGCCCCGAGGTGCCCCTTGGTGTCCCAACAAGTAAGATCGAGAGTGAGATCGATAGTGAGATCGACAGGTGTCCCGTGGTGTCCCGTTGAGTGAGATCGATAGTGAGATCGATAGTGAGATCGACAGTGTGATCGATGTGGTGTCCCGAGGTGTCCCGTGGTGTCCCGTGGTGTCCAGTGATGTCCTGTGGCGTCCCGTTGAGTGAGATCGATAGTGAGATCGATAGTGAGACCGATAGTGAGATCGAGAGGTGTCCCGCGGTGTCCCGTGGTGTCCCGTGGTGTCACGTAGTGTCCGGTGGTGTCCCGTTGAGTGAGATCGATGGTGAGATCGATAGTGAGATCGGCAAGTGTCCCGTGGTGTCCCGTGGTGTCCCGTGGTGTCCCGTGGTGTCCCGTTGAGTGCGATCGATAGTGAGATCGTTTGAGTCAGATATTGGATCCCCCCCCCTCTCCCCCCCCACAACCTCCTTATCACCCGAAGAGTGGTCGTATAGGTATACATATATATATATATATATATATATATGTGATGCAGGTGTAGTTTGTTTTGGGGTTTATTTAGTGCTTACTTTCTTCTTCTTCATGTTAATCTCAGTGCTCCAGCATGGTAGCAAACGCAGAAACAAATTGGAGCAAGAGTTAGTGGCATGCCTTTACCCGCCTGACATCTGAATCTGAGACATGACGTGTGGCAAGTCTTCCTCCGTCCTCATCTCTTCCTTCGAGTTGTGCCCATTGTCCTCCCGCCATCGGTACACTCCACTACGGCGTTGGGAAGCAATCCAAACGGAAGTTACATGTTTCTCAAAGTCAGGGCCTCCCCATCACGGCTTTCCTCACGCCCCCTGGCCCTCCCCCCTGTTACTAGCCCCCCGCACCACCCACAGGACAATGCCATGCGGATGAGGAGCAGGCCAAGCATGAGGACGTGGTGGAAGACGAACAGGAGCAGGAACAGGAGCAGGAGCAGGAGCAGGATGGGGGAGGAGGAGGAGGAGGAGGAGGAGGAGGAGGAAGAGGAGGAGGAAGAGGAGGAGGAGGAGGAGGAGGAGGGGGAGGAGGAGGAGGAGGAAGAGGAAGAGGAGGAGGATGAGGAGGAGGAATGATAGGGTAATCGTAGGAGGAAGAATGGGAGGAGTTGGAGGAGGAGGGGGAAGGTAGGAAAGGAGGGACATGAGGAAGAGAAGGAGGAAGAGGAGGATGAGGAGGAGAAAGAGGAGGACCAGTGTAAACCCAAGAATCATTAACGATGTTGGAATCAACCCTCACTTTAAGCTCCCTCTTCATAGGCCCCAGACAACAGTTCCTTTCCACTTAGGGAACTGCCTCGTTGGAGGACAACCGTTCGAAGACCCTGAAGCATGCTAGAACATTGTTCTAGGGATTCCAACGCCACGGATCAATTTGACGGTTGCGTCGTGACGATCCCGAATCGTGCCAGAACGCCATTCTTGGGACTTCAACACCGCGAACCAATTCATCTGTTGCACCCTCATAACCCGGAATCCTTCCAAAACGCTATTTCCTGTACGCTGAGAATAGGAACCCGTGAAACTCTTGCACATAATAACGAATGTGCGCGGCGCTAAGGCGAGGGCCACATTTTGAAAAGGAACCGCCTTCAATCCGTGAAACTCTGTGCAATTTGTTTGAACGAATTTGCGCGGCGCTATAACGAGAGCCACATTTTGAAAACCACTCGCCCTCAACCCGTGAAACTGCTGCGAATTAAAAACACGAATGTGCGTGGCGCGGGGGTGAGAGCCACAGATTGAAAGCCACCCACCCTCCATCTCTGAAGCTGTTGCCATTTTTGTGGGCTTCAGGGTCATAAGTGGTGAGGAAGTCTCAGGCGAAACGCCTGGCCCGCCCTAAAAGCTGGCGTCAGGGTGCGACAGGGAGAAGCTATCGATAAGGAAAAGGAATGGAGGAGGAGGAGGCGGAGGTGGAGGCGGAGGAGAGAGGAGGCATAAGGATAAGGATAAGGATGATGATGATGATGATGATGATGATGATGATGATGATGATGATGATGATGATGATGATGATGATGATGATGATGATGATGTGATGATGATGATGATGATGATGATGATGATGATGATGATGATGATGATGATGATGATGATGATGATGATGATGATGATGATGATGATGATGATGATGATGATGATGATGATGATGATGATGATGATGCTGATGATGATGATGATGATGATGATGATGATGATGATGATGATGATGAGGAGGAGGAGGAGGAGGAGGAGGAGGAGGAGAAGAAAGAGGAAGAGGAGGAAGAGGAGGAGGAAGAGGAGGAGGAGGAGGAGGAGGAGGAGGAGGAGGAGGAGGGACGGATGAAGGGAGTAGAGAAAAAGGGAGGACAAGAGAACCGTGTCTGAAAGACGGAGCTTTTGCCATCATTCTGAGCTCCAGGCGGCCCGCGTCAGGCCCAGGGGTTAGAGTCATGTCAGGGTCCACGCCAGGAGGGCTTCGGGGAGTGATGTCGAGCGGGTTTCGGGTCCGAGGGGAGATGGAGGTATGCCAATGCCGATGTCCTTCCCCTGTCGTAGCCCTTCTGGGCTTCCCGGTGGGCTCTCGTCGCCACTGCCGGACTCGCCCTGCAGTCGTGGCCAGCACGCAACCCGGGAGCGGTCTGGGGAGCTTCGCCTGGGCCACGAGCAAGTGGGGGGCGATACAAGTGGGGGGGTGGGGGCAGCGAGGGCCGCCAGAAGGGCCCAGCAGGGGGCTCTCAGGGCCTGGAACAGGGCACCCACTTTGCCCCCCCCTTCCCGCGTCTCGCCCCCCCCCCCGCCCCCTTGATTCGCGCCCGCCTCGCGGCATCGCACCGGTCTCCGTGCATGCCCCCCCCGACCGCCGCCAGGGGGTCGCCGCCTCCCTCCCGAGGGTCGAGGGCCGCATCCGGGAAGAAGGGACGGCCCCCTGTATTTCTTATATTTTAATATATAAATTATCCCGGCAAAGCAACCTAACAGCGATGTGTAGGAGCATATCTGGAAGCATTCCCCTTAAGATTCAAATGAGAATCCAGTTGTAGAATTGTGGTGTTCTCGCAGTCGTAGTCGCATTCGCGATGACAGTCGCAGTGGCAACGGCAGTCACAGACACAGCCTCAGCCTCAGCCTGCCTCAGCCTCAGCCTCAGCCTGCCTCAGCCTCAGCCTGCCTCAGCCTCAGCCTCAGCCTGCTTCAGCCTCAGCCTCAGTCTGCCTTCAGCCTCGGCGTCAGCCTCAGACTGCCTCAGCCTCAGCCTGCATCGGCCTCGGCCTCAGCCTCAGCCTGCCTCAGCATCAGCCTGCCTCAGCCTCAGCCTCAGCCTGCCTCAGCATTCACAATGTGGCCTGGGAATGGAATTCTGGGAACTCGAAGAACACGAAGTGGCCTACAGTTGGCTCCGGGCATTCAAATTCGAATGGCCCAGGAAATGGCCCAGTTCTGGGAACTCGAAGACCACGAAGTGGCCTACAGTTGGCTCCGGGCATCAAAATGTGGCCCGGGAATGGAGTTCTGGGAGTCGAAGAGCACGAAGTGTGTGACTGTTGCATCCGGTTATTCAGAATGTGGCCTGGGAATGGGGTTCTGAGAGGTCGACGAGCACGAAGTGTGTGACTGTTGGTGAAAAACGAGCCCGGCACAGGCCCGGCCGGCAACTCCCAACGCCTGCCCGGACCCCCCTGTGGAGTGATCTGTGAGCTCTTTTGAGTCAACTAGAAACCTATCAGTCTTCGCTGTTAGGTAAAAATATTGTTAAAATATTTAAAGTTTTTGATTTTAATATATATATATATATATATGTATATGTATATATATATATATATATATATCTTCTCTTCGTCACACATCTATAGACATATACGCACAAACGGATGAAAAAGGTCAAACATTTCTGAACATAATCAGAAGAATAGAACAAATCCGGAGCCGTCGGCCTCCCCAGGGCCTTCTTGGGCCCCTCCCCGGTGCCAGGGCCGTCCGGCAGCACTGCGGGATTTGGGAGCCAGACCTGGGAGAAGCCTGGGTGTCGCCACAGAGTGTTTTCAGTGGGTGCTGAAAGATCCATTCATGGCTTATGTAGCGCTCATTCAGATGCTCCAGAATGGTCGGCACCCGTTACTCGTTGGCAGACCCAGGCAGACATGCGGCGCTCAAGCGTTGCTCGCTATCGGTGACGCATCGCCCAGCCATCATCGCAATCGAGCGCAAGCTTTGAATGCTGGCCGTCGCGCGCAAGGCGGCCCACGGGGTCAGGTTTCTGTGTTTGCAGTTGCCAGTTTCGGCGCGAGCATTGCAATTTTGGGGTCCTGGGGCGCCGCCACGTCGCGGGAAAACTTGCGTTTGATTTCGAGGGGGGATGTCGGACCCTGTTCCCTCATGGCAATTTCTGCGGTCGGGGATCCAGGAGGAGGGAGGATCAAGAATCGAAGAGGTTGCTGGACGTTCTTTGGCCTTTCCGTGTGTCCTGGCCCCTCCCTCCTCCGCGGGAGCATATGGTGACACTCTAATCATTGGTGACCCCTTTTGGCATTGTCTGGGAG